TTTTTTTTTTTTAGTTTTTATGTGGTTCATCCAGACGTAAAATACTGTCCACATCCAAACATAGCACCGTCTAAGATGAGTGAGCGGTGCAGTGCTTAACCATATCACCCGCCGACGTTACCAACCTATGGTGTTCTGCCTTCGGGCAAGAATCCGCAGTTTTTATCTCTATTTGTGGCATGGAATTTTTGCAGCACCGATAGAGACTGATTCCACATTAAAAACTCGGCCAACGTCTCTTTGTACAGCATCTCATTCTCCGTTTCTCAACGTCTCCGAGCAGAAATACACATTCGAGAATACCAATAATAATTTTTGCGATCAAGCAATGACCAGAGCTGTATCGGAACAGAGTGCTCATCCAAGACACCCCAAGCAGAAGTTTTCATACCGACCACTTTCATTTTTTCTACGGCCTGGGAGCATCTCCGACCTACCTTTGAAGTCATCGACATACACGACACTAACAAGGACAATGACCAAGTTGAACGTCATCCTCAGCTTCGCCGCCGTCGCCGTGGCGCTAACCACCTTCAACGATGTCAATGCTGCCAGTCTCCGTAACCCCGACACTACTGAGCGTTTCCTGTCCAGCTACGATGCCAGTACCAGCGACAGTGCCGACGGTGAGCGCTTCTTGTTCGAGATGGAGGGCAGCGAGGGATCGGATGCCGAAGGCAGTGAGAGTTTGGCAGGAGACCGCTTCCTACTCGAGATTGTCGAAGGAAGTGACAGTACTGTCGACGATGAAGGAAGCGACAGCGAGCGTTTCCTGCAGGAGGTCGACAGTAGCGAGAGTGCCGCTGATGATGAAGGCAGCGAGGGCTTTGCCGGTGAGCGGTTCTTGGCTGAAATGGAAGGGAGCGATAGTACTGAGGGTAGCGAGAGTGTCGACGGTAACCGGTTCCTCCTGGAAGTTGACAGCAGTGGGGGTTCTGTCGATGATGAGGGCAGTGACAGCGTCGACGGTGAAAGATTCCTGGAGGAAGTAGCTGGCAGCGAGAGTGCCGACACCGCCACCAGTACGGACGGCGAACGTTTCCTAGAGGAGGTTGACAGCAGTGACAGTGCCTCCGACGACGAGAGCAGCAGCGATAGCGATGATGAGCGCTTCCTTGCTGAGGTTGACAGTGTTGAAAGCAGTGAGAGCGGAAGCGCATAAGCTCTAGTAGTCCGGGATCGAATGTCGGTGCTAGCAATAAGCATAATACAATTAAATACAGCTTAAACAGATCAAAGTACTTTGCGTGCAACTCGAACATTCTTTGGCTATTTTAGCATCGTAGTCTTCACATATCATAGTATCCGGATACTGTGAGCTCTCCACAGCGATAACGAATCGGCCCATTCAGGAAAAACGAAAGGGATTGTTAAATGATGGCTGTAAATGACATGGATGTTTCCCGAAATGATTTGCATATTACAAATACGTAATGAGTAGTACTCATTGAGTACACAAAAAGAAAATGCACCCACGAACAAGCATCTAAGATTGAATACAATTCGAATCCAAGTTTCCAGCCGATCGAAGTCTTTAGAACCGTAAAAAAAAACAAGCATCATCGAGACTATCATGAGGAGTTTCAGTTTTCTCTGGAAAATTGAAGAAACTATAATAGCACAACTTGCAAAAGCAACGTCGCACCCCTGATCAGGATCTGTGGCCATGATTCTAAATGTAGTAGACTCTAGCTGCCACCTACGGCTCTATGAATATCCCGTGCCCAACTCTTTCGCTTCACTTTTGCTTTCACTCCAGTCCTGCGTAGTCTTCATCGACAATCTTTTCCGAGTCAACCATGGTCAAGATCAGCTTCGTCCTCGTCATTGCAGCTTGCGCTATCATGGGAAACTCCATACTCACTGAAGCTGCAAATGCCGGGAGCTCGTCGAACAACACTAGCGGTAGTATTGACGTTGTGGTTGGCGACGAAAGCAAATCAAACGATGCCAGTGGCAGCGTTGCTACAACCGTTACTCCGGTCTATGACAACAGCGCCAGTACTGACATTGACACCACCACAAGCCCTACGGCCACCACAGCTACCCCCGCCGTTGATGATGGAAGCGCTCGAACCGACTCAAGTTCTAGTGATTTTGCCGATGTTAGCGATGACAGCAGTTCCAGTGTTGACACAGACACCATTAGCCCGTCCGTCACCACAGCTACTCCTTCTGTCGACGCTGGAAGCTTTCAAAGCGACTCAAGTACCATCTCATCGGTGGACGACAGTGCTAGTGTTGACGTTGATACCACAAGCCCTACCGCCACCACGGCAACACCAGCTGTCATTGGCGATGGTAGTGCGCTACCCGACTCAAGTGCTAGCAGTGCTGCCGATGTAGGAGATGATAGTACAGTTGGTGACACTAGTATTACCACCGATGCGCCGACCCTAAAGCCGACGATGGCAAACTCTGGCACCCCAGCTCCGACAGCCAAAGGAAGACCCGTTCCGATTTCTGGTCAGGTCAAACTTGTCCCTGGCTACGAGGACTGCGGTGGATTTGGCTTCGACTACATGCCTTACATGCCCAAGAGTGTGGACACGAATGCGTATACCATGCTCACGTGCGAGAAGGGATACCGATGCCAAGAGGTCCAAGGCAGCAACACGTACCGTTGCAAGGAGTGGCCGAGTAATGATCCTGTCCCCTTCTACGGCCAATGTGGTGGTGGTAACTACGACGGTCAGACGTTCTGTGCTCCTGGAGCCGTGTGCAAGTATATCAGCGCCAGCTTCTCGCAATGTCTGCCGACGTACTAAGTGAACACTGCATAGCTCAGGCATATC